GGGGGGGGGGGGGGGGGGGGTGTGATGCGACATGCACCCCCTGCATCCGCACCAGAATATATAGCATATCTTAATATGAGTGGCTAGTCAAATTTTTAACACGAGTTGCTATTCAAATTCATTGACTGTGAACAAAAATATTTTCCCTTGGGAACTGAGTTTGTATTCCATATGTGTGTCATATAATGACCGGGATATGCGAACCGCTTAGAAGCATTGTTATTATGAAGCGTTATTATAATACATTACCGGTATTATAATAGGCCTACTTGTGTATTATTAATTTCTGGAGAATTATCAATCAGATTATACAAGTTCGTCTCCTCTTTATTTAATTTATTTTCACTTTCATTATCAAAAGCAACATTAAAATTGGTCACAAATAAACAAAAACCTATCATAACAAATAATAAATATCAAAAATACACATTTCATATAAAAAAAAACAGAACACAGCATAAATCAGACAATAATATTCTGTATTTCATAATGAATACATAAATACAGAAATACAAATTGGGTTTGCTTATTATCGAAACTGCCTGGTGTTTACAATTTGTGCTCAACATATACATTATAAAAAATTATATAGCCTAGACTATACATATAAAAGCAAAGAAGCAAAAACTCCCATATAGCGACAGCCGATGATGAGGGTAGTAATCATAAGCTACCAAGGGTGACATAAGTCATTGTGTAATTTAATAAACATTTTGAAGATCTTCTTAGAAAATATGTTGTGCTTTAGTAATATAAATGTATTTCGGGGATGAGAGTGGTGAGAATGTTACACATTTTATAAGAAGACTCAGGCTGAAATTGCTTAAAAATTAAGAACAAAATAAGAACAAATTGAGGCTGAGGTAGAATGTCAAACTAGAAAAACCAAAAAGTTATGTTTGTATCTTATGTGCAGTAGGTGTGACTATGTAATACCCTCTATAATACAGTACAGTAGGTGTACTTTCCTCCCATTTTGGGCCATTTTTTAACCGGGGCTATTTTTTGTGGGGCCTTTCATTCATGGGCCATTTTTTGCAGGGCCGCTTTCACCTCCCAGTACAGTGTAGACTGCTGTACAATAATAATTTTCTATGTTTGAAAAGTGTGTAAAAAGAACAATTTGAGCCTGAAATTGGCCAAAAAATAAGAACACTGAGCCTGGGCAAAATGTTACTGGTTCTTATTTTAAAAAAATGTATTATGTGTCACGTTTTGTTGTCTACACTCTTTGCTATTCTTGTATACAACCACCATTTATGGGCGATATTAACATTTGTGACATTGTAATTCAAAATTCAGGGATAGACCTCATATGATCAATTGAATCGCCTGACTAACCAAGTATTGTAGTAATTTCATAAGATTCAGGGATGATATTCTACAGGAAACGACTGAATCCGCTTATGAATTAGGAAAGAGCTCCTCCTTCCCGCATGGAGGACAGTCTCTAGGTCAGAGATGGTACAAATAATTGCGAAATTTGATCCTCGGTTTTCGGAGAATCAAAGAGAATAATAATGTATAAGTTATTCTGACAGTAGTCTGTATTACAGTGTTTGCGACTGTTTTACCAGAGAATTAGAGATTAATATAGACTTATATCAATTATTAATTGTGTGTGTGTAAGAATACTATGTATTAATATTTTTCTTCGCCTTCCTATAATGGTTTTATGTTTTATTTGTGTATGAAAAATATATTTACTGGGGAAATAAATTTGAAGTTGAAAAATGACAAGCTTATCGCAATACTTGGGTTTTTTATTCAGTTTATTTCGACAGATTTAGAGAAGTGTAAGGGTCAAATCTCTGCACACACACACACACCCACCCACACATCATCTGATCTCGCTTGCTTTCCATGCATTGAGAGATGTACAGTACTGACCTTAAACGCCAGTCACCTAAGAATTTACTTAGGTCATGCCTAGGTTAAGTACCGGTACTATTTCTTATTTATGAGGACGTGGCAGTGTGGCACATGGCTGATCATACGGTACCGTCCAAGTGAAAATATAAGTCAGAACTGTCACATCAGTAGGTCAACCCCTCCCTTTTAATCGCCTTCCAACCAAAATAATACACATTATTTATCTTTTATTAAATATTATATATTTTACATTATTTATAGGCCTATTTGTATTCGCATCTGGGTAATGGTGAGAGTGACTGTGGTGATAGTGGTATGAAAATGGTAGTGATGCTGCTCTTGATGATGATGATATGATGGTGATGCTAAATTTAACTAATGGAGAAATATAATACCGAATATATCAATGATTATTTTCAAACAAATTGTCTAATATCACAGTTATTTTTGTTTTTTGGATAGTGGAATTTGGTGTGTGACGATGCTAACAAGCCAGCTACGTCTTCGTCAGTTTTCTTTGGAGGCGTTTTGGTGGGATCGCTATTGTGGGGATCTCTTGCGGACCAGTAAGTCATTGAAAAGACATCTAGCTTATATCAAGTAGATAGCAATGAGGAGAAAATATAGGCCTATCACGTTCAGTTAAAGCTGCATTCGGATCCTACCCAAAATTAGGACCGCTTTTCCGACGAGCTTAACTCCATCGTCCCTATTCACATACACTGGTCCGATTTTTATAGGTTCGGTAGGCTTTCCGATCCGAGAGTTCGGATTCGGTGTGAATGCGCCACATAGGCCTAGTTTAAGGCTGCATTCACATCGGAACCGAAACGAAATTCGGACAGCATTTGGACTTTCCGATGCGCTGAACGCAAACGTCCCTATTCTTTCATTTTCTGATCGGTTCGGAAGACTTTCCGATTCGAAAATTCGGATTCGGTGTGAATGCACCTAAAGGCAGGGGAACGACTTCAATTTCATTCTTAATAAGATAAAAAAAAAAGAAAATATTGTTATTTTTTGTATATTTTCAGTATCGGTAGGAAGAAGGTTTTATTCATTTGCTTAACAATCGTTACCTTAGTAGGAACATTGGCTGCATTTTCTCCAAACTATTGGTCTTTCTGTGTAATGCGATTCTGCATCGGGGGAGCAAGCATGGGCATTTATTTAGTAGCCTTTGTCATCAGTAAGTTTTTTTTTAATTTATATTTTCTATTTAACCTTTAAAAAGTTAATGTCAAAGTCAACGGCAAAGGAAAATGCATTGTTGCTAAATATTAGCGATTTAACTGTCAGTTGCACTATCTTGCGTTCTTTGATCAGATACGGTAAACACCAAAAACAAGGAATTTAAATACAATAGATAAAGACATTGCATGACGAGTACATTCAGGGTATCGTAGGGAATCAGTCAGAGGTGAAATAAGTAGTTTATTTGACAAAACATGTGACATGCCTAAATATGGTAATGATGACATCACGTCATGACCATAATATATTGACACATTATGACGTGCATTCAAAAGTTTTTTGTCAACGAAAATTTTATAATCTGAACAGAGCTTTATAATATGTGTTAAGCCCTGTCCAGACTATCAAATTATATTTGACAAAAGCATATGACATGCCTTCATACGGTCATGATGACATCACATTATAACCATATAGGCCTATAGGCACATCATGACTATATATGGGCATGCAATAGTTTTTTTGTCAAAGAACATTGATTTTGTGGACAAAGCGTAATCGTAAGAAAATGGTAAATTACGGTACGATTCACAGTCATACACAGACTCCATGATAAAACGCCTATAATGAAACATTCTTTTAGGCAGACCTGTTGACAACATTAACTTTAAGAGATTGTGAATGGATTGATCATTTGTTGCACATTTGGTAACCTACTTTCCAAAGTACTGTACATTATATCTTCGAATTGGCTTTATTAGATTATCCATTTGAAAACAGAACCCCGAGGGAAGAAATGTTTACTCAATACAATTCGACAGTAGTAAGTTGTCCGTAAATTACTACTACCGGTATGTAGTAAAGCTACCATTGTTGACCAAACATGCCTTTTCGTACAGTGTTATGTTCAATATAAATGCTTTCCCAGTGAACTATAAGCATTGAAATTTTAAACATTGACAAAAAACGATAACATTGTTCTTTTTGTTTCTCATTTTTATAAAATAAAAATTGTAATGATGGTGACAGAGGATTGAAGAAAGACGTATTTAGGGTCCAAATTATGCTGGGACGCACTTTCTCTCAAAGTTACAATTTCAGAGTGCAAGCAAAGAGGTTTAGTTAATGTTCTTCAAGAGTGTAATACTGTTCTTCAAAGGTGTAATTCTTCTTCTAACGTAGTCTTGGTAACTCAGGGTGGAGTGTCACATGATGTAATGACATCAGATCACATTAAATGGCTAGTGTAGCACCAACAATAAAAAATTAAGTTCTTCGCGGTCTGGATAATGAGAGCAAAATTATCTCTTTAGACCGTGAAATTAGGTTCGGAACCTTAATTTTGCAATGGAACCTAACTTTTGTGACACGTCACCGGCGGGGGTTGTACTCTGTCTCTTTCTTAATGCTTAGTTGATTAAGTTGATTCGCTGCATAACAACCAGTCATACTGTCGGATTAATGCTGGCCCAAAAATAAATCTTGTCGAAAACTTTTTGAATGAAAAAAGTCATTTTGAAGTACTTTTTTGTTCTGTTTAGGTACAGAAATCGTTGGTCCAAAGCCACGTACATTTACCGGGATCGTAATAGAACTGTTTTTCGCCATTGGTTACATGTTGCTGGCGATCCTGGCTTATTTCATCAGATCATGGCGTCATTTAGAACTTGCCGCATCCATACCTATTATTCTCACTTTCATAATGTATCCGTGAGTCACTTTTTCATAACATTATATTTAGTTTACATTACGTAAATTTAGGAAATATTTATCTGCTAATCGTTACGGTATATCTTTGCAAAATTAGTAGTTAGTAATTATAACATGTCCGCATTTATGCCGACATAAGACCTATCTCGATGGTCATTTGATTAAACTTCAACTAAACATGGGACTATAGGCTGCTACCTCTCAAGGAAGTGTTGCGTAATACTGCAGCATCTTATAAAAGTGCATTGTGCATTCGGGCCTACTACGACCACTACTACACTACAGAGAAATGTCATGGCTAAATATAATAATGTGAAAAAAAGACATAGGCTAATATTTTTGGTTAAACCTAGTACTACAATTGTAATTCTAGTTTTCCACAAATTTGCTGTACTTTTAGTTTCATCCCAGAATCACCGAGGTGGTTGGTAACACAACAGAGATATAAGGAAGCAACGGATATTTTGAAGAAAATGGCAGAAGAGAACGGTACTGTGCTTCCATCAGAATTCAGTGAACCAGACGAGATGGCAAGCAGGGTACGAACGACACATTTAAAGAAAATCACAACGGGATACGTGGAATAGGAGAACAATGGCATGTTGTATAAACAAATAATAAATATTACGTGTATATCTGTCTCTTATACACATCTAGATGTGTATAATATATACAGTACACTATATATATATATGTATATATATATATAGGCCTATATAAATATAAGCCTACATATTATATGCTTTTTATGTTATTCAGTTATATTTAACTAATTTACTGTCATTGTCATTGTCATTCTGCAGATGAAAATTGAAGCCTGTGAAAATTACAAGAAACATACGTGTGTTGATCTTGTGCGTACACCAAACATGAGGAAGAAATCTTTTAATTTGTTTTACAATTGGTTTGTAAAAAAAAACATTGTTTCGATAAAAGCATGATTAAGAAAGCAATGACAGTATTAGTTAGAAACACACCTCAGACATTATTTTACATAATACTGGGTTCAATACCTGTGACAGCACAATATTTTACTCACGACAAGCACATGTATGATGTATAATGACGATGAGTATAATATTTTGTAATAATTATAATCGACTGTTTTAACATGATTTCATCCTAAATATGATACGGTAATTATTCGTTAATATTCCATTTTTTTTTTCTGAACTACTTTTAGGACGGTCAACAGCCTTGTATACTACGGATTGTCCCTAGGAACTAGCAATATGGGAATTAATGATTACGTCGCAATGTTCGTAAGTGGAGCTGTGGAGTTTCCAGCTGTCGTGTTCTGCCTCTCTACAGCCAGTAGATTTGGTCGCGGCAGAACAATCAGCTTCGTCATGATCGCTGGTGGATTAGCCTGCTTCACGACTCTCTTTTTGCGTGAGTGTTAGACCATGTTTGGAGGTATAAACCTCCATTACCTACTTGTTTGTCGAATAGGAAATAAATCTGTAGGACACTTACGTACCTCTCAGACAGCAGACCTATCTTTTGGCGAAGAAGACCTGAATTCTGTACTTAGACGGTGTAAAAATATAATAGTAACAAATAAACGTCAGTAATATTCATATCTAAATTATTAAAATTGATTATTTTCTCAATACTTATATAAATAATTATATGTTGGTTCTTACCTCATTTAATATTTTAAAATTTAGAATTAAATATTATGATTGTTTGTCAAAACCTGATTTATTTAATAGGCCTACATTTTTAAGTGAATTTGAATGGCGCAATCTAAAAAATCGGCCGACTGTGTAAGATTGACTTAGCCTATCCAATATGAATCATCTTTCACAAATGTTGACAAGATAAAATATTATTATGTATTATTTGTATTGCTTTGTATGGGAAATGTTCTTAATGAAATAATATTTAATAAAGCAAATAGTGGCCTAGATATTTAAAAATATATAGAAAAGGGGGAAAATAACGAAAATTAGAAACTGATATGTGTAGTTTGTGTAATGTATTTCATAATTTATGTTACAAGTGATGAATAAATGATCATTTTGGTCGGGGAAAAAAGTTCTATAATAAAATATTTTTATCATAATTATGACTTGTTATTTTCAGCTAAAGGTGTCGTACTTGTAGGTGTGGCAATGGTTGGGAAGTTTTGCATTACTTCATCGTTTGCTTTAATATACATATTTTCTGCTGAGCAATTCCCGACTCCTGTCAGGTGGGTTTTGTTTTTACACGGCGCGGTTTTAAATAATCACAAGACAATGTTGATTTTTTTTTCAATCCAATATTGTTCTTATTCTTCGAGCTTTTCTATACAGCTGGATAAATCAGTATAATCAATAAGTGAAAGCTGAATGTAAGAATTTACCTGTAAATTGCAGGCTGCGTCATTTTGTATAGAATTACACAGCATAGGAAAAGCGCATTTTACAACGATTGGGGTACGAGTAGACAGAACACCGGGGTAACCTTTCCGAAAGATGCTCTCAGTTCTACAAGCAAAAATAGTGCACTAGGCATCTGGATTTGAGTTTTTAACCGACAAGTCTTAGTGCGTCAAAGATACCTTTCTCGAACTTGCGTCGATGGTAAGACTATAGGCCTATATGACCAAGTTTGCAGCACCTCTCCACTCGAAAACTCGACTCGCTTATTTCATTTATCAAAATTATAACTGCTTTTACTAGTTCAGTGCGTTTTTATTATTCTTTCAGTATTAATACCGTATTGTCTGAGGTAGTATGGCCTACTTGGAAGTCCAGTCGATAATCGATCTATTGATAATTTTATGTTTATATGGTCTAACTGTTGTAACATGAATTTATCTTTTTCTGTCAGGGCGGTGGGTATTGGATGCTGCTCTGTGTCGGCTCGTATTGGCGGTATTATGGCGCCACAAATCTTGTTTATTGGCAAACTTTGGGAACCAGTAGTCCCCTATCTTGTGTTTAGTGTGGCGTCTATTTCTGCGGGTCTACTCGTTTTGTTGTTGCCGGAAACGTTGAATGTACGACTTCCAGAAACTCTGAAAGACGGTGAAAATTTTAAAAAGTAAGTGATCATTAAATTATACACCCACTTAATTAATGTAAATAATATGCATGCCAATGACGTCAGGTCACGTGCTACATTTTTAATGCTGGGTTGGATTGAATTTCATATTAACATGTATTATAACAAATTAAAATAAACATGTTTCTCGTCAAAATAAAATAAGGCCATACGTTTTCTCTTCTTCACAAAAATAGTAATTACCTTGGCCTCCGCATTTTTGTTGAACCAAGTATTACAGAACCTCTTTACATTTCGATCACTCTCAGAAGTGAATGACGATGATTTTATGAGGGCGCTTGCAAGACATCATCGCACTAAATATATTGTTTCTCGACCGTATTTTCGGATACGCGTAAACAATTTCATCTGGTTTCAGTGCAATAACAATTATATTGAAATTTTCATTTTTTTTAGAACAAACGATCACTATAATCTATTCTTTTCAAGTTAACATTTATGTTTAAATTTTATTACATTGGAACCACATGAAATTGTTTACGCTGTTTATTATGTTGTGGATAGATGATGACTGATGATGATTAACCCCATATTTGATCTTCCACATCTAAACATCAATATATGATACTGATTTTGGATATTTATTTCGTTTTTTTATAGACAAAATTCATCGAATAGTGATTATTCCGACGTTCCTAAACCGGAGACAGCTTGATTGTTTTGAAGCCTGTAGAGCTGCATCGTGTAATAATGGACCATGTTTGTACCGTATTTATTCGAATAAAAACCCGCACAGAATAATCGTTCTGTTTTTCCTCATGTTTGTGTCACTAAGTGACTAACGAAAGAAAACAACGAGAAAATTATTTTTTATGAATTTTTCTGTTATCATTTATTTTCTTTTTTCAGAATATAAAAGCGGTGTTTATTCGAGTGTTATTAGATGTGTCATTTTACAAAAAAATAAATAAAATCCTCTTGTAAAATCCCTAAGGGGTTTTTTGAAATAATTTCGGTACATACAGAATGCATGGTAGCGTTTCTATGCTACAGAAAGACCAGTTACCGGCCTTAATCATTTGGTTTATGAGCACATAGTAACTTCTGTGCAGTTTGGTTTTTTTTTCATTATCATTGTGTTTAATTAATACGCGGATTTATAAAATTCTTATTTATTACGCTAACAATTTCAGAAATATACAAATATTGTATACCTTGAATCTCTATTCTAGAAAAGATGAGAGCTGAATTGGGACATTTCCCATTATTGATAAGAGTTTTGAATAAAAATGATAAACTATTTGTTAAAATTCATGAAATAGACCATTTGTTTGCATTTTAAATGTTATACTGTTAAAACAGCTTGATCTCGAATGAGAACTGAATTTGGTTTCAAAATTTAGAAAGGTTAAATACACTTTTAATTAAGTCAAACTTTACAAGGGTGTTGATCTTAAAACTCTGTTCCTTAAGTGTTTAATCACTATGAGCGTAATGTTCTCCGGAGGTTGCGATTAGAAACATATTCTACTAATAGGCCAATATATTTTTAAGAATTTTTATCTAGTTGAAGAATGCATAACATTTGTAACCATACATAATTATAGGAGATATATTTCAATGATACGAACTTTCGTACACTTTTTTTAAATAAAGACGGAGCGATGATAAGTTATTGAGTTTTTGTCATAGTTGTGACCATTAGAAGATTAGTAAAAAGTAAAGGTAATCGTATTAATGTAAACTGACAGGAGCCCAATGTAATACCGTAAGCCTCGGCATTGTGTGGTACTGTGATAAGTTCCTTCGCGCTGCTCGTAATCGCCCTATAATTAAACCGGACAAGTCTACCCATTTACAGCTGAGGAGAACTAAGGTGAAAATGCTTAATATTATTTAAGGTTATATGGTTATATAGAAACTTTTAGTAAATTCGGTATTAACATTTTATTGGCCTAATATATATATATTTTTTTTAAAGAAACTTTACAGAATAGGTTGATTCAGCTTCCCCGGGTTGGTGTAGGAGGTTTATATAGACCCAAACTTTGCCAATAAAACACAAATTTACTGTCTTTTTTAAATTATAATTACAGTATTGTTATTATTTAACCTTATTTCAACGGCTGCTGAGACAGCAAAGCCAACTTTACATATAGTTTTGTTCCATAATTCAGAGAGTTTAGCGGGTTACAGACGGGGTTACCGAACGTGTTTGTGTCCATGTTGTGGTATAGTCGAGTGGTGCTGCAGCCCAAATTTGAATGTGGACATCTCTGCTTATAGGCCTACTATCTTCAACCTCATAAGACTGGTATTCACCACACTCATTTTAACTCTCCAGGCATTATTAAGCACTTTACGTAAGAGGACGGGGAGCCGTCGACAACAACGACAATTCGGGTTAAGCGCCCCTTACTGTTTACTGTAGTCTTCACGCTCTGATGAGCACAAAACCACCGTCCACCCGTCTTCCCATCCTGTTGCGTAATTTTAGTTGGTTTTGGTCCGAATAGGGGCGTCCGAGCTTTAGTGAGTGTTGGTCTGATTTGGGATGGTAAACCTATGGCAGTGGCCTATCTAGGGAGAGTGCTGGCCCCAGTATTCCCTCCCCCCACCCACAAAAAAAATCACGGTCAAGTAGTTAAAATCACCATATTTTGCGAATTAGCGCCCCTCAACTGATCATCGAGCTCCCACCCCCACTTCAAGACTTCTAGATACGCCACTGACCTATGGTCCTAGTTAGGTTGGTGCTATATATTGCGGCTTGCCATAGAACCGAGCTACCTAAACTTATTTTAGTGTCTAGATAATTATTCTAAATGGTCCGGCAACACTGACACAGCGAAAATTAAAAAATGTTAAAGATAACTACCTAAACTTATTTTGTCTAGATAATGATTCTAAATGGTCCGGCAACACTGACATAGTAAAAAGTAAAAACTACAGTAGAACACCTATTAAGGGGTCACCTTCGGGACCAAAAAAAGTGTCCCCTTAATAGGGGTGTCTCCTGAGTAGGGGTACTCCTATTCGGGGGACACTAACCAAAAATGCAAAATTGTCCCCTTAATAGGGGTTTTTGGCATGTTTTCATACAATGATGACATAAATTCTGTATAATTTTATTTTTATTGTCATAACAAGCAGCTAAGTAGAATTAGAACTAATTTATAGCAACAATTTTCAATGTAAATACAATAAATTTATATGAAATCAGCACAAATGTAATTAAAACAATAATAGTTTTTTTTTTTTTTAAATAAACCTAGAGGTCGGGGTTTCAGTACCTCGCTGCACTGTACATTTTGCTTGTGTCCTTGAGCAAGGCACTTCATCTGCATTGCTTCTCCTGCATCACCTGTCTCGTCGGGCTCGTAGGTAGACCATACAGGCCTGTATGGTACATGTTATGCCTCCCAATTTCATCAAACCACCACCGCATGGGTTCTCTCCACACAGGAGTATATGGGTACCTGGTGGGCTTGCCTACTTTTGCGATATTTACCAGCAGCAACACTTAAAACATGAGGACCCAATGCCCAGGGAAAAAGAAGTGCTTTGTATCTACAAAGAAAAGGTGCTGTATAAATGATGTAAGTAATAAAATAATAATAATAAATGAAATATTATTTCATGATGCAATGTTAATAAATCAAATATTCCTTTTATTTATTTAAAATATGAGCTTTCTACTGGTTTAATGTAGCATCAATAGAGTCAAGACATAGAATTAATAGAGCATGTTGTGGTATGTATTAGAATCCTATATAAAGTACACAAAAAAAAGGAAACGAAATCCCCATGGTTAAGGGTCGAAATTGACGAGATTGGTTTATATGAAGTAACACATTCAGTAGGCCTATACCAACGTTTACTCAGAGATGATTCAGGGGAGAAAATTCTGGTTTATTGCTCAAAAGGTGTTAAAATATGAAGTTGAGTGAATTTTTCTTACTTTAGAGACTGCTGTAGTTGTTGTGATACAGTGATAAAAAAATTAAGTGTCCCCTTAATAGGGGTTATTTTACCATTTGGCACACTCAGAAAGTGTTCCTGTCCCCTTAATAGGAGTGTCCCCTTAGTAGGGATTGGCTGTAGTGTTAAAAGATATATTGCCGCTCGTTTTACGGAATAGTGTCCCTTTAATAGGGGTGTCCCCTAAATAGGGGTGTCCCAAAGGAGGGGTTCTACTGTATTCTTAGTCTGGTGACTGATGAATACTGCCTTAAATCATAATGGAGCATAATGGAGCATGACTGTTATTCCATAATATGATAATGAACATACTGCTAGCCATGAATATTAAATGTCTGAATGTCGCCCTCGTTAGTGTTGGCTTTACTATCTCTGTTGAGATGTTAAAGGATGGGATTTTCCAGTAGTTTTTTTTTATAGACTTCATTTCTAACCTGAGATGAATAAGTCGATATAACGCATCGGTATTTCAAAATGGGTGATAAAAGCAAACATTTTAACAGACCTGTCATCTTCCTACTGCTGATCACCGGCGCTTCTTTATTTTGTGCTGTCTTTCTTATCGTTTATCAATCAACCACAGAGAATTGTAGGCCTACTGATCAGTGTTACAATGGCGGAAGCTTTATTCATGGAAACAATACATGCAGTTGTGCAAAGGGATACGATGGTCCACGCTGTGAGTTCAATACCCAGATTTGTCACATTGGTCAGTGGTCTGAATGGACGACTTGTTCCAAAACATGTGGCCCTGGTGGTATTCAGTTTAGAAGTAGAGAGAATGAATGTTCTGATTCGCAGCAAACTTATGAGCAAAAGGTTTGTAATGTTCGTTGTTATCATGGGGGAGTTCTGTCGAATATTCGTGAAGAATCCATCTGCCAAAGTGGTTACAGTGGAGAATGTTGTGAGATACAAGACTGTGAAGTGACCCCATGGAGCGAGTGGTCAACGTGCACTCAGGTGTGTGGACATCAAGGGACGAGGTTTAGAACACGTAATGTGGAAAAACCATCTGCTTGTGGTGGAGCACCTTGTCCTGGGAACTTCACCGAGGAAGAAGAGTGTAATAGAAAATGTGACAACAATGGAACTCTGGACGACAAAGTTGAAAAATGCAGGTGTCCAGATGGATACAATGGACAGTGCTGTGAGTGTAAAATCCAAGATTGTGTTATGACCCCGTGGAGCCAGTGGTCAACATGCACTCAAGTATGTGGACCTCACGGGACGAGATTTAGAACACGTAACGTTGACAAGTCACCGGTTTGTGGTGGAGCCCCTTGTCCTGGGAACTTCACCGAAGAAGAAGGGTGTAATAGAAAATGTGACAACAATGGAACTCTGGACGACAAAGTTGAAAAATGCAGGTGTCCAGGTGGATACAATGGACAGTGCTGTGAGTGCAAAATCCAAGGTTGTGTTATGACCCCGTGGAGCCAGTGGTCAACATGCACTCAAGTGTGTGGACCTCAGGGGACGAGATTTAGAACACGTAATGTTGACAAGTCACCGGTTTGTGGTGGAGCCCCTTGTCCCGGAAACTTCACCGAAGAAGAAGGGTGTAATAGAAAATGTGACAACAATGGAACTCTGGACGACAAAGTTGAAAAATGCAGGTGTCCAGGTGGATACAATGGACAGTGCTGTGAGTGCAAAATCCAAGATTGTGTTATGACCCCGTGGAGCGAATGGTCAACATGCTCTCACACATGTGGGCCGCGTGGAACAACATTCAGAACGCGTGATGTGTACACTGCTCCCATGTGTGGCGGAACAGAATGTTCTAAAATATTCACCGAGAAAAGGGAATGTAATAGAGAATGTGACAACAATGGAACTATTGACAACAATGGTGGCAAATGCAGGTGTCCAACCGGATACACTGGACAGTGCTGTGAGTGCAGGATCCAAGATTGTGTTATGACACCGTGGAATGATTGGTCAGCGTGCACTCGGGTGTGTGGACCTCAAGGGACGCGATTTAGAATACGTGAGGTGGCCATGCAACCTGCTTGCGGTGGTGACCCATGTTTTGGGATTTTAACCGACGAAGAAGATTGTAACAGGGAATGTTACAACAACGGAATTCTGGACAAAGTTGACAAATGCACGTGCCCAGCCGGATACAATGGCCAGTGCTGTGAGTGTAAGATTCAAGATTGTGTTATGACACCGTGGAGCGAATGGTCAGCGTGCTCTCACACATGTGGGCCACATGGAATGGCAATACGAACGCGTGATGTGCAAAGTTCACCCCAGTGTGGCGGAACACAATGCTCTGGAATATTCACAGATCAAAAGCCATGTAATAGGATGTGTCACAACGAAGGAATTTTGGACTACGACGCGAATGCATGCAGGTGCCCGGTCGGGTTCAGTGGTCAGTGCTGCCAATGCGGGAACGTCGACTGTGAACTTAGCAACTGGACTGAATGGTCAAAATGCAAGGACGCAACGCACCAAATACGGTCACGTGACGTTAAGAGATACCATGAGTGCGGAGGACATGCGTGTAATGGGTCGCTAACCGAAGCTCGTTCGTGTGATGTAGTATTGGAACACCGTTTGCTGCTCCCTACATGGTTGGTGACGATACTTAGTACCTATAGTGTATTGTTAACGTGTTTTGTCGGTGTGGTCTACATCAGGTAAACTGAACTTTTAATTTTCAATTAAAAAATGTTTCTCCAAAATTCACATACATAAAATTTATTTACATAAAACTGCATGCGAAGGTCTCTGATATGCACAAGCGCTAGGCTCGAATCTTACTGCAGTCATTAAGTAATTAAGTTTGTTATACATCCTGTGTAGCCTATAAGAAGATCCAACCTCAGTGGCGGCGCCAGCGGGGGTGGGGGTGGGCAGCAGGGGCTTTAAGTCCCCCACCGGACAGGTCAAGCCCCCATCACGAGAGGACAGAGCTCGTCGGGCAGTCGGACTAGAAAAAATATAAAAATAAGCCCACGCCAAGCCAACACATGACTGTCACAGTCTGAAAGTGTCATTTCTGGCCATCCAGAGGTTGCTATTCTTTACAAAATCTCATTTTAGAGGGGGAAGTCCCCCAGTCGGGCAGATCAGCCCCCCCCAGATGTGTATAACAGATCAGCCCCCCCCCCCCGAAAATATATCCTGGATCCGCCACTGTCCAAACTATAAATACTTACTTTAATTAAAGCTACGTGACAAAGACAATAGAAATGTTCTGACCAGAGATTTATTTGAAATAACTGGTTTTGTTGTTGTTAAAAATGTTTTAATTAATACAACTACTTGCCTACTACTATATCATACCGTAATTGGCTTTTACCAGCAGTTGCTGGAAAAGTCATAGTTTGTGTTGCGATTTTTTGTTTTTATTTTTTCTTCCAAGTTACAAGAAAGAAATTGTTATGTGTTGGTGACGATCCAATTTAGGGTGTAAATGTGAGGGTCATTTTAATTACTGACGTCCCAGACCTAAATATCTCTAAAACTTGTCGATGGGTCTAAATGAAACTTTCTATATTAGTTTGTCAAAGTCTAGTAAAGAAATAATTAAATTGTTGTGACGAGTATGGTGTGGAAGAAATTATTAAATGTTGCTGACGATTCAGTTTTTTGGTGTGGTTTTGAGAGTCATTTAAAGGCCCAAAGTCCCATACCAAAATATATACCCAAAAAACTTATCAATGGATCTAAAAGAAACTTCCTGTAATAGTTTTTCATGATCCAATAAAGAAATGATTAAATTTAGCTGTCAATCCGGAGTAGGGTGTGGACATGATGGCCATTTAATGACAGACGTCCCAAAAACTGATAAACTGATCTGAATGAAATTGTCTGAAAACGTTAACCATGTTTACCATGTTCAGAGTAGAGTGCATTTTTTTATTTGTAATACAAGGAAGGAATAATTAAATCTTATTGACGATCCCAGTTCGGTTGTGAATTTTAGGGTCATTTAAATTGCTAAGGTCTCAGACATAAATATCTCTAAAAACTATTGGGCGGGTGATTATATAAACGCAATTTGCGTTTTCTAAAACCTTTAAACCAGCTGCAGCTAGGTTAAACGCAAAATTACCGTGATATGCGTGAACAATTTTGCTTTCAATCACTGGATTACTGTGAACTAAAAATGCACTGACCTACGCAGGGTCGGCTCATATCGCGCAATGGTTATGAGTCTCCATGTAAAACCTCTGTATTACCATTGCAGCTATAGTTCAAGTTAAACTAACATCGCTTTAGTCGTGAAGTTGGTTTTCATTGTTTTTATTTTACTTCATAGTTTTCTTTAGTAGTATTTAGTGTTTTTGTTTTTCGTATGTTTTTTACTTTATACTTTTTAATAACCTTGATTTGTTGCAATTTCAACATCACTTCTCCTTATGGCGATGAGGAAAAGCAGTATGTTTTGTTGTTAAAAAACAGACATAGTCGTACGTGTAGTATTATTGTTGTTGTTATTACTGTTGTTCTATTGTCACTACTTCTACTACTGCTGTTAGTACTGCTGCTACTACTAATGCTGCTACTGCTGTTACTACTGCTGCTGCTACTGTTACTACTGCCACTACTGCTAGACCTAAAAGTTTATTATGAAAACATAAATTTCAAACCTAATTTTTAAAAACAAAACAAAAACAAAAACAAACGGCCAGCGAATCCCTCAAAATTAGTTAGATTTTTAGAGATGATGGTATTGATTACTGTATTGTTAACTTCAATCATATTTTCTTATGATAATTGTTATAAAGTGACACTAACCTCGAATAGAAGCCCCATGGGCTTAATCTTGAAAGGAAGTTCCCACTCCCCCATTTTAGTTCACAGAAGCAATCTCGAAAAGAAGCCCATCTCGAAAAGAAACCCACTGGTTTCTAATCAAGATAATATCGGCTTCTTTCAAAATACGGTAACACCGGTGGCTGCTTCAAGGGGACAGGAGTTAGCCGGCCCTGGCCCTCAATTTTTTTCAAAATAATAAAAATAGAAATGGAGGAAAAAGAAAAGTATAATTACATTTAGGTCTCAGAATGCCATTTCTGGCCATGTAGAGGCCATCATGAACCATGGTTGGGCTGAGGTGGTCTAGAAAAGTCCCTCACTGGGGCCCCTCTATTTCGAATTCCTGGATTCACCACAGAGTACTTACATTCATACTGATGTTATCTGTGATTATTATGATAGCATAGTTAAAATTTAAAAAATATTAAACAGAATAATGAATTCCGTAGTTAAAATATGTTGTATATTATTGCACAATGACTTTTATAGGACTTTATTCGTGGAAAAGCTACAGGGTAGCCTACGATGTTCCATCATGTCCTTATTTAAACACTGTATATGTACCTTTGATGATTTATATTATATTTATTAAACAGTGTTAACGGCTAACTCCCTTCAATATCATATATATGTATATATTATTTATATATACCTATATATATGTATATATATTATTTACATATATATATGTATATATATATTTTATGTATGTGTATTTATTTATTTATATTTATATATTTTATTTATATTTATATATTTTATTTATATTTATATATTTTATTTATACTTATATATTTTATTTACACTTATATATATACGTATATATATACGTGTATATATATACGTATGTATATATATATACGTATATATACACGTATACATATATATATATATATATATATACATATATATTTATGTATATTTATATATTTATATCTGGCGAAATAAATGAAATGAAATGAAATGAAATATATATACACGTATACATATATACGTATATATACACGTATATATACATAATATATATACGTATATATACGTATGTATATACACGTATATATACGTGTATATATATACGTATAATATACATGCGTATATATATATACACGCGTATATATGTACACGCGCGCTTATATACATATATATATACGTGTATACGTATATATATACGTGTATATATACGTGTATACGTATATATATATGTATATATATATATATATATGTGTGTGTGTGTATATATACACATATATATAGGGCCTATATACTTTTAAGCCATGTATCATGCATAGGAACGTTGACGCCTGCAAGGCTCTGGTTTAAGTCATGGTCCGAGTTGTAGGTCTGTTGTACCGATTTGGAGTTGGTCTGAAGTTACTGGTATTAAGAAATATAAGCTATTCTTAATTTGGTCACTGAAGAGTGTTAAATTAAATCATAATGAACTACTTCCGTAATAGGCCTATGTATGAACGTATTGTTATCCTTGAATATTAAATATAAACATTACTTGTAGTACTTGCAGGGACGTTTTAAACGATACTGATTAAAATATCAATTTAAACGTCGCCCTCAATAATTTTTGGCTTTGCAAATCCCTGCTTAAGATGTTAAAAAGATTTGCCTTTCCAGTAGATTTTTATAGACTTCGTTTCTAACCTCAGATGAATGTACGATATAACGCATTTCAATGATGGTTGATAAGAGCAGAAACATTTATAGAAGTGTTTTAATTTTACTATGCTTCCTGCTGCTGTCCGCTGGTGCCTTTATATTTTGTGGCGTCTATCACTACATCCTTTATGTTTCCACCATAGAGCATTGTAACGATCAGTGTTATAATGGTGGAAGCTTTATTCAGGAAACCAATACATGCGCCTGTGCTAAAGGATACGGTGGTCCATGTTGTGAGTTCAAGACCCAGATGTGCCAAATTGGTCAGTGGTCTGAGTGGACGCCTTGTACCAAAAGGTGTGGTCCTGGTGGTATCCAGTTTAGAAGTAGGGAGAATGATTGTTTCGATTCGCAGCAAACGTATGAGCAAAGGGCTTGTAATGTTTATTGTTATCATGGGGGAATTCTGTCGAATGTTCCTGAAAAATGCATTTGCGAAACTGGTTACAGTGGGGAATGTTGCGAGTGTGAGATACGCGACTGTGAAATGACCCCTTGGAGCGAGTGGTCAATATGCACTCAGGTGTGTGGACCTCAAGGTACGAGATTTAGAACACGTAATGTGGACAAACCACCTGCTTGTGGTGGAGTCCCTTGTCCTGGGATCTTAACAGAGGAAGAGGAGTGTAATAAAAAATGCTACAACAATGGAACCCTGGACGACAAAGTTGACAAATGCAGATGTCCAGATGGATACAATGGACAGTGCTGTGAGTGCAAGATCCAAGATTGTGTTATGACCCCGTGGAGCGAATGGTCAACATGCTCTCACACATGTGGGCCGCGTGGAACAACATTCAGAACGCGTGATGTGTACACTGCACCCATGTGTGGCGGAACAGAATGTTCTAATGTAATCACCGAGAAAAGGGAATGTAATAGAGAATGTGACAACAAAGGAACCATTGACAATGAAGGTGACAAATGCAGGTGTCCTGTCGGATACACTGGACAGTGTTGTGAATGCAGGATCCAAGATTGTGTTATGACACCGTGGGCTGATTGGTCAGCGTGCACACGCGCGTGTGGACCTCAAGGAACGCGATTTAGAATACGTAATATGGCTATGCAACCTGCCTGCGGTGGAGACCCGTGTTTTGGGATCTTAACCGACGAAGAGGAGTGTAACCGGGAATGTTACAACAGCGGAATTCTGGACGACAAAAGTGACAAATGCACGTGCCCAGCCGGATACAATGGGCAGTGCTGTGAGTGTGAGATTCAAGATTGTGTTATGACCCCGTGGAGCAATTGGTCAGCGTGCTCTCACACTTGTGGGCCACATGGAATGGCAATACGAACACGTGATGTGCAAAGTCCACCTCAGTGTGGCGGAACAGAATGCTCTGGAATATTCACAGATCAAAAGCCATGTGATAGGGTGTGTCACAACGAAGGAATTTTGGACTATGATGCGGGTGAATGCAAGTGCCCGGACGGGTTCAGTGGTCAGTGCTGCCAATGCGAGAACGTCGACTGTGAACTTAGTAACTGGACTGAATGGTCAACTTGCAAGAACGCAACGCGTCAAATACGGTCACGTGACGTTAAGAGATACCACGAGTGCGCAGGGCATGTGTGTAAGGGGTCACTAACCGAAGCTCGTTCGTGTGATATAGCATTGAAACACAAGTGGTTGGTCTCAAAATGGTTTGTGGTGACACTTAATACATATAGTGTATTGTTGACATTTATATTTGCCTGTGTGGTCTACTTCAGGTAAACTGAACAATTACTATTTCAATTGAAAATGTTTCGCCAAAATTTACCTTCACGTTATACAAAAACCGCATGCAAAGCTCGCTGTCTGATCTGATCTGCGCATACATAAATTTCACTATTTTTTTTTTATTCATTCTGGTTTATTATTAAACAACAAAATCTGACATTGCCCCCCTAAATTTTTCGAAATTAAAGAAAAAATCAGCCCCCAACATTGTTGGGGCTGAAGCAGGCTCGTAGGCAGGATTTTCGATGGGGAGGTGCGTAGTTTGCAACCGAAGTGGACCTTACGATGGGCGACTGCCTAGGGATCTCCGCGAGGGTGGGGCGAATCTTCTGAAAGCTCTGACAAATTAGCATTTTGAGGGCCTTTTTTAATGGATTTCTAAAATCCGTAATTTGTAATATCCTATTTAAATTTGCATTCATTTGAGTATTGTATACGGACCTACAGTAAAGCAGGAGAAATAGAGGGTGGGGTGAAGGGAGAAACTTGGACAGACAGATGGTCAATACCACCTCAGCCCCACCATGGTTGGGGCTGAGGTAAGAAAATTTATGATTATGGCACCTCAAATTGGCCGGTAATGGCACTCTTAGACAAACTTTAATTATGATTTTTCTTTTTTCTCCATTTCTTTTATAATTATAGGGGGCTCTTCCCCCCCCCTGAATCCACCACTGTGAAACTGTAATTTGTCATGTCCTTTACATCTGTAGGCCTACAATCACTGGAGCGGATATTTTCCAACAGATTTCGTAGCACATTTAAAAATCAACGGGTAGAAGAGCGGGCAAAAAAATGTAATGCATACTATAGCATTTCACGATAATTAGAAACGATTTTAGTGAAATTATAGGTTTTATGAAGTGGACTTTTTGAAATTTGGTGGTCATTTAAATTTTCATTAATTTGGGTGTTTTTTGGGACCTGAAAAAGTAACGCTATTATGTCCTGTACATCTGCAGGTCTATAGATAACATTTTTCATATTATATAGATCAATCTGCAATCACCGGAGACGATCAATTTCTAACAAATTTCATACCACATTATCAAAAATCAACGGTTAGATAAGCTGGCAAATATATAATGCAATGCATGCTATAGCATTTTGTGATAATTAGGAACGATTTTGTGAAATTAAAAAGTGGATCTTTTGGAATTTGTAGGTGGGGGGTGTCCGCACCCAATGCACCCCCCCCCCCCTGCCTACGGGCCTGTGAAGTAACATCGACCCGCCATCTGTGAAAGTCTCTCTCTGGGCCTCCTCTATTTCAAATTCCTGGATCCGCCACTCTATTGTACTGCTGCTGCTGCTACTGGCGCTGTTACTATTACGGTACATACTACTCTACAGCGCTGCTGCTCTACTACTACTACTATTTATAATACTACTTTTCTCTTACTAGGTGGAGAAGAAGACGATAGCTTCTCAATCAAGAAAACCTACAGAGTACCCAAGAGTTTTTGGCAGACTTACCGCTCTTACCGTTATGGATGATAGTTAAAGATTGGTTCATTAAAATTCGTAAACAATTAATGAAGGCAGTGGTTATTGGTCTTAAACGAATTCGTAATTCTGAATGGATATTATTGTCTAGTCATTTTACAAACAATAACTTCTAGTCAGAATTAAGTATGTGCTTAAGACAGCAACTAAACTTATGTATCGTTTCCAGAATATTGCTATTTACATTGGCGGATCTGGGGGGGGGGTCAGGGGGTCCTGACAAAATTCTCTGTGTACCGGTACACACATAGGCCTATTTACTGTAATAAGAATGAGAAAAAAATTACCTGACCGGTTACAAAAAGGGAAAACCTTGAATTTTGATTAAAAATCCGGAAAACTCATTTCTCGCCATCTAAGAACCAACATTTTCCTGGGGAGGACCCTCGACCACCGTCTTATTTGAGGTTCATCGATTTATTGAAAAAGGAATATGTACGCAGCGACTCAATTTTTGTTATGTACTGTAACGTACATACACACATAGTAGGGCTACTAGTATTTACAGTAATAAGAATGAGAAGTTTACCCGACCGTTTTCAAGCGAAGGAAACCTTAAAATTTAAAGAACTTAAAAGTCACCTCAAAAGTCTGGAAAGCTCATTTCCCGCCATCTAAGAATCAAAATTTTCCCAGGGGAGGACCCCGACCCCCCCTTTTTTTTTGGCGTTTTTATGGGAAAAGTCTGACACCCCCCCCCCCCCCAATTAAATGTGAACCTAGTTCCGCCCCTGATTTATATTTCTTAGTTTATTTGATGCATTTAAATTTGTGCTAACACCGAATGCTTTGGTGCAATATGTTCCAGAGGTTGATTTATTTATTTATTATTGCTGTTTGTTGGTTTTGTTTTATCTTAATTTAAAACTCATGCTGAACAAATCAAAAACACAATAATATTATTTTACTGTAATTAATAAAGATTTTCTACAAAATGGAGGCTGGTAGGCAACAAAGGGATTATATTTCTGTAAAAATATCAACCAAGCTAAACGAAAAAACTAGCAACCAGTGGTATTAGTAATGGACCTTTCCACTAAGCCCCGCCCCTTGGATATTGTTGCTAAGGTTCCAATTACCTTGGTTCCACAAGACGACATATGGGACAACACGTGTGTTTGTGAGACGCGCGCGTATTCCTAGCGTTGTTTTGATTAGTCAGTTTTTAAGTTTGATTGACACTCTGGAAAGGTCTATTACTGCAATGCCAAGTGAGCTAACTCGCAAAATAAGGTGATTGTAGGGGATTTAACAACTTGACCGTGATTTAGGTCTGGGTGGGGGAGCGAGTAATTTTTGGAAGGGCGTGTACCGCACCCTCTAGATACGCCTCTGTGTACGGAACGTTTTCAAATTCGATTATCTATATATCATGTTTTTGCATTTGAGCTTCCATTTTATTTTTTATTATGCTGTTCTGTACTTCTGCAGTTGTTAAGGTAATTTATATATAGTCTGAAATTAATATTTACCTTTTTAATTTAAAGCTGTACATATATGAAAAAATAGAAATAAATGTTACGTTGAATTGAATTGAATTATTCACTCTCGCCGCTGGCGACTAAACCATCGGTCCCCACCTGTAAAATTCTACAACTAAATAGGCAACTAAATGATATCTGTGAGATTAAAATTTTTGATAAAATAAAGTGTATTTTAATAGATAGTTCCCACCCACTAAATGCATCTTTTGCTTGGCTACCCTCGGGTAAAAGGTTAAAATCACATGTCTGTAGAACAAATAAATATCTTAATTCATTCGTACCACTTTCCATTAGAATGCTTAATAAAAATATCAAATAAGTTTTATGGCCTAATTATAATTTATTTTCTCCACTACTAGCTATTTAATATTTATACTGACTACTGCATTTTGTTTTGCGATGTGATGTACCAACTAATTTTCCGAAAGGACACAAATAAAGAATAAAGAATCTTGAATCTAGTATTGTCTTCTACCCCCTGCTACAACATTGGAGGGGACTGATGGTCACCAAGCAGCAATAAAAAAAAATAGCTGAACAAAGGGCGGATGAGCTTTTTGTTGCCAACGGCCAACCATTATTAATTTAAAGAGTGGGCATTTAATGGTTTCCTGCCGATATACGGTTTTGTTTGTCGAGTAACCATTTTTTCAATAAAATTTGATGTAGACCCACACTAGCAGTGGCGTAGAAAAATATTTTTCATTGGGGGGGGGGGGGGGAGGGGGGACGGGGCATTATCCAAAAGAAGTAGAATTTTGTG